AAAGATTCCATCGGTGATTCTCCTGGGCAAAAGCAGGCAACTCTGGCAGACACTAACATCCAAAGTGCAATACTTTCTTAAGATGTCAGAACTGTATTGCAAGACATTCTCAGCTATGAATATTAGTTCTTAAGAGCCGGGAGTCAGTAGTTCTTCATGTCTTGTGTTAAGCCATAGTATAATTTGTATGGTTTTGGCACCCGATGTTGTGCAAATCCAGCATTTCTGGACTTTGTGGCTTAGAGTAATGTGGGAATCTAGCCAGTGTTTCATGGACTGTTTCCAAGTTGCAAAAAATAAAATAAAATACTGCAAGTCTATTTGAGCTTTATTTTCAGAGCTTTTAATAGTGGTTTTAAAAGGTATGGATAGTTTATTATTTATTCTATTTAACTCATGGAATAAAAGAAAATATAGGCCATTTTCCTACTCCCCAATTCTAAAGCATTATTAGGATGGGGACAATTCCATTTCTACCTCTTGAAAGAATAAAAAAAATCAAAAGCTTATAGTAATATGGGAGAGGAGCAAATAAAACATGCAGTAGTCTTGTATAGGAAGGAAGGTGTTCAGAAATGTAAGATTTGAATTTTATTTATTGATTGATTAGCCGTTGGGCCATATCAAAGTGCAAAGTTTCAGAAACAAGTTATTACTAAAATTTGATAAAAGCAATTTAAAATGGAATAAAATAGAATACAATTTAGAATGAAATTGGAATAAAATTAAATTAAATTGGGATAAAATACAGTCTAAAATGAAATTGGAATCAGAAATATAAGATGCAAAGAAGCACAATTAGAAAATTAAAATTGCTCCAACATATTAGAGTATGTTACCCATTTTAACTGGCTGAGACAAATCAGCATTAATTGCCTAGTTTGTATCAGCTTATTGAATATTATTTAGGACTAAGGTAAATTTGAATTTGAGCAAGATTTTTAATCTAATCTTCTATTGTTAGAGGACTCCCTTTTTATAACAAGTTCCAGGTGCATTGTGATCTCTTCATTGCAAATTTCTTCTGTGGTTCCTTAGGCATTTGAAGAATCATTCAATTTCTCATGAAATATTTCTGAATGATATATAATTTGGTACATAGAACAGTAATGCATTGATAGGTGAAAAAGATGTAAATTTAATGCAGTACGTGTTTAAAAAATGGTTCTTAGCTAGGAAATTAATAGCAAAATCAGAATTCATAACAAAAAATGCAGCTCTTAAAACCTAATAGAAAAACTATCAATGTCATGTGACTGGAATAAAGGTCAAAGTATAGGGCAGGGGTAGGCAACCTTGGCTCTTTTATGACTCGTGGAGTTCAACTCCCAGAATTCCTGAGCCAGCTGGCTCAGGAATTCTGGGAGTTGAAGTCCACGAGTCATAAAAGAGCCAAGGTTGCCTACCCCTGGAATAGGGTATATGCAGTTTCTAGAAATCTCAAGTCATTTTGGAATGTTCAGTATGGCTGCACCAGATGGTTCAGCAGAAAGAAAAATGATTCTGTAGCTCCAAATGTTGTGTGTGTGTTTGTGTGTGTGCGTAAACAAATAGGCCAAACATGTGAAAAGTAAAGTCTGCCTTTTCCAATAGGCAGTTTTATTTTACACAGTGAAATATCAAAGGCTGCTTTTGCCAAATAAGGTTATGTGATAGGAACTATATTTGTAATATGAAGGAATAAAAAAAGACTTAAAATACAGTGAATTGAAGTGAATCTCATCACATCTCATATTAATTACTGAATGGAAATCTAGGTTGTGTTTAATTGGTGCCATTTTTTCTTAGTGGAGAACATTTCCTAGGAATTTTTATGCTAAGATAAAGGAATAAAAATTCAGCCTAAAACCTCTAAATATTTCAGATTATTATTGAGACTATTGACATTAACTCTGATTAACTGCCATTTCCCAAAAAAGATAAAATGATATCATTTGCGTAATGAAATAAATTAGGATGGAATTTTCCAGTTTCTCTATAAAACATAAGTGTCTGTGTACATCAGACTATATTATCTTCTATATTAGAAGAACACGTCATATGCCCTGGAAACATGAAGCTATTATACTTTTGGAAAAGGTGCCCTGAACTTAAGAGGTATGATGAGAATTAACTTTATGGTCAGAAGTGTTCCACCATTTTAATTAATTTGGCAGTTTTAATATTTTTTGCAGGAGGGCATTGTCCAATTCAACAGCTTCATGCTGAGAGTGTCAGTCTTGGGAAAGAGTTTTATCTGAAAGAAAAGGGGCAATATCACTCACAGATAAATGGGTTAGAGATTATGTCTATCAACTCTTCCTTGCTTGCTTGGTTTTATATAATTAAGCAAAAGTATTCCAAGACAAAGGAATATATTCTTGAATCTTAATATTTTTACAGATAACATGGCTACCTATCAGCTGTTAATTGCAGTGTTAGTCTTTATTGTGGGAGCTACAATGCTTTTGCAGTGAAGCCTGGAGCTTCACTGCAAAAGCATTGTAGTATATATATATATAGTATATAAATTTTAATTTTCCCTCCCATCGTCTGCCCCACGACATTCATCATGTATTAAGGAGTTTTGGCTGACAGTTGCACTTTTTGTTTGAGTCCTTTTGCAGGAAGGTCTGGTTTCTTTTATTAAGAGAAGAAGGGGCAATTACTTTTCTACAGAGCACATTTTCTCTTTTCCCAGATAAGAGCAAGTCTGGTTTTGCAATATTGATTTCTCTGGTCTCACTCTGACTTTTATTAATGCTGATAGCAGCTGAATTTCCTGATGCTTGCAACCATGTCCCCCTGTGCTCTTTTTCCTCCTGTGCTTTTCCATGAATTTCTATAGTATGGAAAGAAGTGACCAACAGAATTGCTGTGTGTGTGTGTGTGTGTGTGTGTGTGTGTGTGTGAGAGAGAGAGAGAGAGAGAGAGAGAGAGAGAGAGAGAAGAGAGAGATTTTAACAGGAATTATCCATGGAATGAATTTTTCTGATACCTGTATTTATTTCTCCACCTAATCACAATTCTCCATACTTTTGATGATGATGAATTTCTTAAAGCTGTCACAAAAAGCCCCACAGTTTGTCTCATCAACCCAGTCTTGACAATACTTTTTGCCACTTCATTCAAGTGAAATAGATGCTCCATGAAGATGTTTCTTCAGTTTGGGGGAAAAGTGGAAATTGCATGGTGCCAAATCCAAACTCTATAGCAATGGGGTAAGATCCAACTTTGTAATTGCCTCTTGGATGGTCTTATTTTCTATAAACTAACATTTTCTTTCTGGTTCACAGTGATGAACTGAAGTTTCCCCTACTGTCACAATTTACCACCTTCATTCTTGTAGCATGACAACAATTGCTGGCAAATTATCAGCTTTTGAAGATTTTATTTCCACTGTCAACATACAAAGAACTCATCTTGCACAAAGTTTCTGATATTGAGACCATCAATAATGTGACCCACACATTTCTGTGAACTGCCAAGCTTGACAACAATTTCTCTGAGCGATGTACTCATTGTCCTTAATCAGTTAATATTTCTCATATAAAACTCATTGATTGCTGTCAAAGATCATCTATTTGGCTTTTAATCATTTAAGTCAGCTCCTCCCAATTTAATATCTTCGTGTTTTTTAGCCCAGCAACACGCAGTACATAGGTCAACATATCATCCCTATAAGCAAGCTGCATTTACCAATGAGTTTCAATTGTAGGGACTTATTCAGTCAGTCATAGTATATTGTTTAAAGGGCGTACTGCCAGTTTCTAATTCATTATAATAGCAGCACAGCTTTTTCTTACAAGAACACCCCACCCACTGTTGGTGGCTTATAACGTTGGAAGCATTAGTTTTCAATCAACCCTTGCAACAATTGAGGAACACAGCCATTAGATGAAGAAGTAAATTGAGACTTTTATAAAAGTCAAAATTGAAAAGCACAGCCACAAGAAGTGAGATTTTAGAGCTGTAGTTCTTCCCCACTTTCTTCTCCAAATAAAAATATTTGTTTATTCCATCCTTCCAAGTGGTTTACAAATATTAAAACAAGCCATTCTTAACAGGAGAAGGGAACTGAACAGCAAAACAGCTGTTTTTGAATGTGTCAGGTGTGATCAACCAGATCCATATATGAAGAGTTCAGTTCGTTGTTTATTGCACAAGCCTACACACAGGAATCTTCTCAGATTGATGGTTGGCACCTAGATAAGACTAGAAAGGGGAGATGGTTGGACTTCTCACTTTTGTGCCCATATAGGGATTCCAGATTATTTCCCTGTTTGACTCCTCCCCTGGCTTGGCCAGTCTTTGTTCAACAGGATAACCATGATCAGAGATGGAGTGTAATGCTATTGACCTCTTAAGGTTTGCCATAGTTTACTTAAAGTTGTCAAAAATAAAAGTTTTTCTCTGCTTTCAAGATTCTGTTTAGAATTACAATCCTTTCTTCCTTTTGAATACACATATCAGATATTGGGATCTGAGTGAAAGCAGGTTTATCATGCTGTTTGTTGTGAGCATCTGATGTTTTTTC